CTCCCCACTACTTGAAACATGGCATCTTATGAAATCTATGGGTTCTGTTTCCCTCCTCTATTTTTTTGTTTGTTTTTCATTTGATCCTTCTCTATCCTTTGCCTCTATCACCCCTGCAATGTTTCCTCAGAGGAGGGCTTTGACCTGTAAGAGAGCTTTACATGGTTAGTTATAAAAGTCCATAGGGCCAACGTTACACCAGAAACATCTCACCTCACTATGCCATGGCTCCTTTGCTCCCTCTTAGTTCTTTTTCTTTGTCTTTTCTTTTCCACAGAATCTTGCTCTATCATCCAGGCTGGAGTGCAGTGGTGCGATCTTGGCTCACCGCAATCTTCGCTTCCTGGGTTCAAGCGATTCTCCTGCCTCAGCCTCCCAAGTAGCTGGGATTACAGGTGTGCATCACCACACCCAGCTAATTTTTGTATTTTTAATAGAGACAGGGTTTCGCTATGTTGGCCAGACTGGTCTTGAACTCCTGACCTCAAGTGATCCATCTGCCTTGGATCCCAAAGTGCTGGGACCACAGGCGTGAGCCACCATGCCTGGAGTGGTTGCTGTTTTCACATTGGCCCACCACAGTTTCCAGCAAGGATTTGTCACTGACTTTCAGAGACAATAGAAATCATGTCGCCTCTCTTGCACTTCCTCCTGTACATTTACTGACACCATATGTAGGAATAACTTGCCACTTAGTTTGTCTTGGATACTGTGTTGTCTGTGGGTGTGAGTTTCGCCCTCTTCATAGATCTGTCTGGTTTTATGTGGAGATTCAAAGAGATGAAAAACTATGCCTTCTTGATAATTCCTCATTTCTCCCTGAATTTTTAATAATTACAAGGTGGGTCTGTCTCAAAGTGAATAGTTCCTAAAAGTAAAACCTCAACTTCTAACTTCTGAAATATAGAGACACAGATGAAAATTCATTCATATACAGAATGTACAGTAAATATCCACAGTTAGGAATCAGGAATAATGAATCAAAACATATCAACAGATTTAAGTGTTTATATTTCTGCAAGAAAATCTATGTTGATATTATGAACCATTCTCTTTTAGGCAAAGATCAGCCTAAAAAAATAAATATCCTAGGAGTGGTTGTCTCCAAAAGTTAGTTCTGCCTTTGATTTTAAAATTCCATAGCTTAAGATATTTCTGGGCTCATTTCCAAGAGTACATATATAATTTACAGTGTCTGACTACTTACTGCTGACAATCGTTCTGTCCTTTCCCCTTTAGGATCAATGCAAGAGATACCACTTTGAGGAAAAAAAGCCATATCCCATTTTCTACCAATGAAAGTCAAATCCAGATATATCTGTGTGAACTATATCTATACCCAGGTTTACCTATTTTAAACATGAACTGGGATCTAGAGTTTTGACTTTTTGTTAATACAGAAAATTGAAAGTCTATCTTATAAAAAATATAATGAGCCTAAGACTATAATCCATTCAATCCTCCTAGCCCTTATCAGTTTTCAAATTACACCATTTATTTACTTGTTTGCTTTTCTACCAGAATATAAACATCATGGGGCAAGGACTTTCCGTGTTCTTGCTAACAATCTTATCCCTAGTTCTTTGTACCCAGAAGAGACTCAATTAAAAATCAGCAAAATGGAGTTGAAAACATTTTTATATCCCTTTCATTTATATAGTATGTGTTCCACAGAAAATAGTAGAGAGCTCATAAATAACTTCAATGCCACTAGTAAAACTTGCATATTTGAATAGCCTTGAAAGACTTCATCCCACCTTGGAATTGGAAGTGGACTCCAAGAAACAAAGTCTGTTGCCAAATCCTTCTGCTGCCAAGCATAGTTTCTGTTGTTCTTTGTGGATGGTTGCGGTGCACTGCAGAACCACTTCATCATCCTGCAAAGGGGGAGAAAGGGAGGGAAAAATAAGTGAGACCTGACATGACTCCACAGTCCAAATTAGATCTTGAAGAACATTATTTTAGTGCATTTAAAAAATCTGTGCGCAATGTAAAAACTACTGTCAAAAAAACAACCAAAAGAAACCCCTACAGAATCAGTCCCTAATGTACTTTTTATTTGCAAAAAAGCAATTGGGTGGGGGAGAAGAGGGGAGCTACAGCCACTCAAGGCAATTAGCAGTTTTCTGATTGTACTGACTGATCTCAGAGGCAACCTGAACAAATAAAAGTAAAATACAGGATTTTCATATTATTATCACTATTTTAGTCATCAAAATTAACAAGCAATTGTCTGACATATTTCTAGGACACCAAGTATCATCAAGAATGGAACAGATTCTAATAGCAGGCACACGTGTCATTTCAAAACTCACACCGGAAAACAGGTCAATAACAGAACTTCCTCAGTTCAAAGTGATGGCAAAAGTCATCTTAGTTCAACCACGCATTAGTTGCTTGAGCACATCTGAAAGGATCCTGGGTTGCTTAAGAACGCGTGGAGAGACAATTTCTTATTTCAGTCCTCTGAAAGCCAAAACAGCTTTCCAATCAATTAGTTAAGCAAGGTTACTGAAGAAACTGCACATGGAGAAAGATGAAAATTAGGAGGACTCAATACAGGCAGCGCGAGTGCTGCAGGAATCATGGACTGTAGAACAAGCAAGATCTGGATTCCCATCCCAGCTCACCAGGTACTAGGTTATATGATGTGAGGCGAAGTACTGAATTTCTAAAATGATGAAGTAAATCCGATAAAGCACCTTACGTAATGACTAGCATACAAAGGCACCAAATGCACAGTAAGTAAATGGAAAATACAGGTTCTATGTGGCAAGGGCCTAAAAAGTCTGACCATTTACGTGTTTTGACATCTCAACCTCAAAGAAACAAAAGAAAACATAACAGAGTAGTAAAAAAACAATATAATCATCAACCCTTCTAATTAGACAGAAAAGGGATACACAAGTATATTCTAGAAGCCCTTCACCAAGGTAGTATGGCAGGGCATAGGTGATGGGAATAAAGCCTCAAAAGCAGACAGCAAGGTTTTTTTTTTTTTTTTAGCTAACCTAAAGAATATGCTATATGGCTGGGCGCGGTGGCTCACACCTGTAATCCCTGCACTTTGGGAGGCCAAGGCGGGAGGGTCACCTAAGATTGGGAGCTCGAGACCAGCCTGAACCAACATGGAGAAACCCCATCTCTACTAAAAATATAAAAATTAGCCAGGCATGGTGGCACATGCCTGTAATCCCAGCTACTCAGGAGGCTGAGGCAGGAGAATTGCTTGAACCTGGGAGGCAGAGGTTGCAGTGAGCTGAGATTGCGCCATTCACTCTAGCCTGGGCAACAAGGGCGAAATTTCGTCTCAAAAAAAAAGAATATGCTATATAAATTGGAAAGGCGCCACTCTAATTTGTATTTTAAATCCTTGTAATGCTTTGTATTTGCCTTTTTTTCCTATATGGTAGCAGCAATATTTAATAGCATAGCTTATAGCACCAGCCACAGGCAAAGCCCAATATTTTTAACAACCACCTCCTAACTGACGCTCCAGGTGCTCACTGATTTCCAGTGAACATTCATTTGTTTTCTTTAAAACATCATTTGCTAAAAAAATAGCATTTTTCTCATAGGATAGGGTACATCTGAATATAAATTCATGTGCACTGTGGTGATAATAAAAACAATCATGAAGTACTTTGGAGCTTATATAATCTGCAAGATTGAAGCTATATTGTGTTCCAAATACGTAGTGTAATTGAAACAAAAGAACCAAAAATTGTGCTGGTGTGCTCAGTGCCTTATGAAATCCCCAGAGGCTTTTACTATTTTGTCTTACCTACCCTATGCAACTAACTCTAACATGCAAACTACACTCTTGGGTAAGTAACTACACTCTTACTCCTTTGGATGCTGGAGGCTATTTAAATACAATTTAATACATAATTAATTATGAACTAAAGACAGTTTGGGAATGAGAATAAGAGGAGACAGCAAGACGAGGTAAAAACAAAACCACAGGCATATGGGACAAGTGGGAGTAACAGAGCTCACTCAGTAAGCCCCGGAAGAAGAGAAGGCACACCATCTTCACAAAAAGTCCAGTGAATGCCCATCCTGGCATTAGCTTATTTAATCCTCACGATACCCCCGTGGTATAAAGATGACCCACACATATCTAGATGAGGAAAACGGGGCATAAAGTAACTTGTTACTCACAGAGGGCTTATCAGACATATTTCCAGAAATTGATCACTAAACCTAATTCATCTGAGTTAGATTCAGATCATTCAGTCTGTAATCCCACACTGCTTCTAGAGACTCAATTGATTTTTACCAAGTATGTTATCTATAAAAGTGCTTCTCAATCTGTAAGGTGCATCCTATCACCCATGGATCCTGCTAAGATGCAGATTCTGATTGGGAAAGTCTTGAGTGGGACTGATTGTGCATTTCTAACAAGCTCTCAAGTATGAACCACACTCTGAGGATCTAGGGCCCAGAAAGGGACCCAGAAAATATATAGATCCTAAGAAAGATATGAGGTTTTTTTTTTCTTTTCTTTTCTTGAGGCAGAGTCTCACTCTGTTACCCAGGCTGGAGTGCAGCTGCATGATCCCAGCTCACTGCCACCTCTGCTTCCCGGCTTCAAGTGATTCTCCTGCCTCAGCTTCCCAGGTAACTGGGACTATAGGCAAGCACTACCACGCCCTGCTCATTTTTTGTATTTTTAGTAGAGACAGGATCTCACTGTGTTGCCAGGCTGGTCTCGAACTCCTGAGCTCAGGCAATCCACCCACCTCGGCCTCCCAAAGTGCCAGGATTACAGGCGTGAGCCACTGCGCCCAGCCAGATATGAGTATCTTTTTGATATATGATATAGGAAACCTATAGGAGTTTGAAGACAATCTTTAACAGTCAAATATTAAAATAAGCCCGGGTACTTTGGACAAAGCAGAAATTAAAGCTCATGTGGAGATGCCCATTAGTATGTAAGACATGCCAATCATCTAAGGGAAAGGAATGGATTTAAATACTATATTAAGCTATACTATCCAATGTATGAGACCAACTCACTTACACAAAGTTTCACTTCAATCCAGTGCCTTAACACTGTATGATGGAGTGCCTGGTAATGAAGCAACATTAAGTTCAGGAGAGCTCTGCTATACCACCAAGGACAGAGGCTATAGCTACAGCTTTCAATCATGGTTCAACTTTGAATGATACAATCTAATCCGACATACTCATCCAAGCTTTTGACAGTTTACCCAGGAGCTGCTTTTATTTTACTTTCCAGCAAGCAAAGGGTTCCCTTTGGACAGAAAGTAAAATATACCGAACACTTAATGAACCAAACACCAGTTCACAAGCCACCTGCCAGTTGCCTTTAATTAACCCATCATTCATCTCAAAGCACACTTCCTCTCCAGAATCACTGTGGTCTGACAGCATGCAGAGCAGGCATTTGAGAGGTTTTGATAAATAGCTTAATGTTTTCTATTTATTATTATCCATATGTAATACATCTAGTAGGTAACATATATATTAAGTATACATGAGGATATTGTGTACATGCACACGTGCTCACACATACATGTATACACACACACACACACACACAATCTAGTTTCTATTCCAACAATAAAGATCAACACTGCCAAATACTGATGTGATCCGGAGGGTTAACCTACCTGACAGAACAATACAGATATTAATTAAAGTATGTTTTCCTGGGTCATAAGGCCTCTTCTGAATTAGTATTTGCTATTCAGCCCCTGAGGTACAGACTTGTAATTCATATGTCCTGCTTTTGCATTTTGGCTGCGTGTACCAATAGTGTTTGAGTGCTTAAATGCACATGATGACCATCATTTTTTTTTACCTTGGCCCATAAAGACTAAAAGTACCCTTGAATATTCATCCTTTACTAAACAAACTTGAAGAAACAAATGTATTGATCTTTCTTTATACAAATTCTGGATGAAATAATAAATAATCAACCACTTACAAGAAACCTCATGAGCAATTAGATAAATGGAAGCACTTACATAAGGGTGACAGCCACCTTGGAGTTACCAAGTCCTGTGGGTTCTACTCCATCAATACTTTTCCAATCCATCAATTTCTCACCACCTTAGTCCAAGCTACAATCATCTCTCATGTTGACATCTTTAAAATCCACTGAATGGTTCTCCACGCTGCAAACTCCCTTCCAAGGAGCTTTAGCTTGAGGCCACACCATCAATCTGTACTGTATGGTGTGCTGGCTTAAAACCCTTCAATGGTTTCCAATTGCTCTAAAGATAAAAGCCAAAAAATCCTTGAGCCGGCCGGGCGCGGTGGCTCACACCTGTAATCCCAGCACTCTGGGAGGCCCAGCGGGCGGATCACTTGAGGTCAGGAGATTGAGACCAGCCTGGCCAACATAGTGAAACCCCCCTCTACTAAAAATACAAAAATTAGCTGGGGGTAGTGGTGTGCACCTGTAGTCCCAGCTACTTGGGAGGCTGAGGCAGGAGAATCTCTTGAACCCAGGAAGCAGAGGTTGCAGTGAGCTGAGATTGTGCTACTATGCTCCAGCTTGGGCAACTGAGCAAGACTTCATCTCAAAAAACAAACAAACAATAAAAAAAAAATCCTTCAGCCTACAAGGCTCTACACTGCATAGCCTGGCATCAGCCCGATATCTCCAACCAACCTTCCTTCATCCCTTTGCTCCTACAGGACTTTTGCATGCACTATTAAACCCCTATCTCTCTTCTCTAGTTAACGCTTATCCGTCTTTCAAACCTCAACCCAGGCATCCTTTCAAGGCTGTGTTGAGATTAGACCCGCCAGGCTACTAATTATTTTGTTTTGCGCTCCCATACATTGTATTTTTCCTTTAGTTTCTTCAATTGTCGTTATGTGTTCATTTGTGTAATTATTAATGTCTGATTATTAAACTGAGTCTGGGCTGGGTGTGATGGCTCACATTCCAGCACTCTGGGAGGCCAAGGCAGGTGGATAAGCTGAGGTCAGGAGTTCGAGACCAGCCTGGCCAACATGGTGAAACCCCATCTTTACTTAAAAAAAAAAAATACAAAAATTAACCGGGCATAGTGGTGGGTGCCTGTAATCCCAGCTACTCGGGAGGCTGAGGCAGGAGAATTGCTTGAACCCAGGAGGCAGAGGTTGCAGTGAGCCGAGATTGCACCACTGTACTCCAGCCTGGGCGACAACAGTGAGACTCCATCTCAAATAATAATAATAATAATAATAATAATAATAATAATAAAACTGAGTCTGTTATTACCTAGAATTATAGCCCCAGTATCTAGCATAATGTCAGGCATATAGAAGGGCGTCAATCAATAGTAGTTGAATGAATGAATAAGAACAAACAATGCCCAAAATTTGTAATAAGTTAATAGCACTAAATCAGCACTACCCTTTCATTGAATTGCCCACTTTGGATATTGCAGTTGAAAAACAAAGTTCAACATGAGATCTTTCTCAATAGCGAAGAAATGTTGCCTTCCCCAAATCATCTTACTGAGGATTGGCCAAATGAGAAACTGTGGCTACAATGCAGACATATACAAGCCTTACATAGCAAAGACAGTAGATAAGGCATTCAGGGATGCCTAGGGACCTCAAACTTGGCCAGACAGTACACCGGTTGATCCCAGAACAGGAGAAAGAAAATAGAAAACCTTCAAAGAATCAGGAGATGTAGAAAGCAGGAGACAGAGAAAGCCCAAAGCTTAGGGATAGCAGGGGTGGCGACAGTGGAAGAGGGGGATGTGTTGAGGGGTGAATTATGGGAAAGCCTACGTTCATGCTCGTGTGTGTGTGTGTGTGTGTGTG